CCCCCCCCCCACTGACCTCGGGCTCCACAAACAACCCCTGACTTCACAGGAACTGCTGTTAAGCCCAGTCTTTCCTCCCTCCTATAGTACTGTATTGATTTTTGTTTGGTTTTAACCCAAAGCAGAACATTAAATCTATCCCTGTGAAATTTCATCTAGTTGGTTTTAGTCCAACATTACAGCCTGAACAAATCATTTCAAAGCTTGACTCGATCTAGCATATTCTATCTGACCTATAGCACTTGGATCATGTGAAGATTTATGAAGCAGCCTCCTGAGTTTTCATCCAAAACACCGATGCTGGGGGGAGGGAGGGCAAGATGAACGCACATGTGCTTACACTTAATGCTCGTTCTTTTGTCCTTAAACTGGGCAGGACCTAGGACGGAATCCCCTAGAAGACAGTTATAAAAACCTCCTTCCACGGTGCCCTTGACCTCTAGTTCAATGTTTTTCAGGATGCAGTCTACGGACATCCGGAGTGCCTGTCAAAGTACAGATAAGCGGCCCCCACCCTGGGCCCATTGAATCTGTGTGGTCTGGGAATGTGCATTTTAAAAGGAGGTTCCCACATGCTTGTGCATGAGACACACACACACACACACACACACACACACACACACGCACTCACGTGCACATGCACACCACTTTGCAATCCACTGTGTCAGTCAGTACAGTTGGATTCCACCAGAGTTGTATAACCCGCTTCGAATCCACTTCGCCGCACATCATGCCATCCGTTTTTCTCCACGGTATCCACAGAGATACCGTGAGGAGCTTTAGCGACTGCTCAGCTGAAATATTCACACACTAAATGTACCGTATTCCCATGATCCTCCGGGGAGTAACTTTATTTAAGAAGAAGCGAAATGATTTCACGATGCTCTGAAAAATGCCTTTTGTTTGCTCCTCGTGTTTCTAATTTCCTAGCTATCTGAGTCACGATCTAGTTTTCTGGGGATTCAACGTGAAGACGTTTTTCCATCCTTTTAATTCTCTCTTTCCCTGTTTTTGAAAATGGGGACATTCTAGATTTTCCACCCTTCTGCTAGTCTGTGGATTTATCAGAGATGGCCCAGGAGTGACTGTGAAATTGGGGGACCAGAAATCACGATGGCATTTAATGAGGGTCTCTTGGTCTCTCCTGGTGTCATCGGTCCCGGCTGGGCCATGTAGAAAGCCATTCCGCTTGAGGGAAAAGGCAGAATGAATGAGTTGGTGGCTCTGTCTTCTTTCTGGGAGGTCACACCACTATCACTCCCAAATATACGATCACCGTCCCTGCAAAGTAAAGGAGCACTAGGATCGCTCCTCTCAGTCCTTCCGCCTCTTCAGGAGCCTCGTTTGTATTTTCTTCTACGTATTTAACCTCCTTTCTCACCGGGCCTCGTTAGCAGAGTTCAGCGTGTCCCTCCCACCTTTATCCCACCAACCCTCACCTCACACCCCTTCTACTCCTGCTTTCTCGACCCCTTTCTCTCTCTCTCCCCATCTCATGCCAGTCAGGCCTCTGCTCCTGCATCCCAGTGAGCACAACTCCAGCGAAGGTGACCGATGACCTCCGTGCCACTAAGCCAAGAGCATTCTCCAACCTCCCTTGCTAGCAGTGGAAAGCATGGCTGTCCCCTCCCGACACATGCCGCCCTTGGCTCCTGTGCCCTTGTGGCTTTCCTCCCCTGCTCTGGCCCCACTGTCCTGGTCTCCTGCGCTGCCCCCCTTTGCTCCCAGCTGTTAAATGCTGCACGTTCTACAGGCCCCAGCCCTCTTCTCTTCTCACTGCTTGCTCTTGCTGTGGCAGATGTCCCCTGCACATGGCTGCCACACCATCCACCCTCACAACCCCAGAATGTACGACCCAGCGTTGTCTCTGTCAGCGTCCTCAACGTTGCTGCTTGGATGTTTCCAAAGCACCTTAAACCCCACCACCCCCAGTGTCCCCTGAGCCATGGCGCTTCATCGCCCATCTAGGTGCCGAAGCCAGAGACTGGGGTCAACCTTCAGTGGCTCCTTCTCCATCACCCCCATCTCCCAACTCATCCAGCACTTGTCCTCTTGTCCTCTGCCCATGCCCCACTGCCAGCCTCTCGCTCTCCGCCCTGGCTGCCCTGACAGCCGGAACTTCACTCCTGCCCCCTCTAAGCTGCCCGTCCCACAGTCATTATGACAATCACGGCCCTGGACTGGTCCTGGCCATTTGCCCTTTGGTCTGTCCCTCCCCTGTGCCCTGCTCTGCTCTCCATCACAGGGCTGACCCTCACACTGAACTTCTCGGGGTCCCCTGCCAATTGGCTTTTGGTGGCTTCTGCCAATGGAGGCACTAGCAGGAGACTGGAGGGGGGCAGGGAAGCCGGGGCACTTTCCTCCTCCCCCTGCGACAGCTGCTGGGTTTGCTGTGTGGCTCCAAGCCACTCTGGAGCACGGCCTCCCTCTCCTGTCCCTCTGGCCTGCAGGCGGTAGTGGCTCCTGCTCTTGCTAATCTTGGAGTCGCTCCCTGTCCCCACCTAGCCTCTGAGCTCTTCTGTCACCTGGAGATCACTTCTTCACATTCACGTCCCTCTGTTCTAGACACTGCAGTGGTTCTGGCTTCTGGTTAGACCTGACATATCTGGTCACCGTATTGTAAGGTAACCTGTTTGCCACCCCCCTCCTTACAGTGGCTCCCATTGCTCTTAAAATAAAGACCCCGATCCCTAACATTATGTACAAGTTCCCATGTGGTTTGGATCCCATCTGTCCCTTGTGGATCTTCTCATGCCATCGTGTCGTGCTCTCTGCCTTCCACTGCTGCTTACTGCTGACCACACCCGCCAGCTGATCACCCCCCAGCCTCCCCCTCTGCTCTGTCCACTCCAGACACATTGGCTTCTTTCAGCTCCGTGGTCTCTCTGCCACAGGGCCTTTGCACACGCTCTTCTTCCTCTGTCTGTAAGCATCTCCTCCTACCTAGCCCCACCTTTACCCAGTTCACCACTTCTCATCCTATGCGTCCTGGTGCCCTTGACTCTCAGGGATGCCCAACTTGGGTGGGTCATCCAATTTTATGCCCATTCATTTCCTCTAGAGCACTTTCCTTAGTTTGTAATTATTTAACTAAAACAATTATACAATTCTCTCCCTCTCCCAACAGCTATGAGACCAATAAGGCAGAATTGGTGCCTGTTTTTCTTAGCACGGGCGCCCTCTTGCCTGGCACAAATAGGTGTGGATGCTGTGGAACGAATCCTGCCCACATACTCCTGCTGCTTTGATTTCTCTTGGAACTGCAGGTAATTATTACTTATTGGAATTGACCCCCCAAAGCCATTCTTACTGTTCCAAGGTATTTTTCTGTTGTTTGTTGTGTGTGTTTCAATCTGAATTTACAGCAGTTCACACAAGCCAGGGATTCCTGTGTAGCCAGCACCACTGGTCTCTTGGGTGGCCCTCCAAATCCCACCTCTCACTGTCCACCCCGGAGCTGCTGTGTGCTCTCAGCAAGAGGAGTTTTAATAGCACAGTTATTCGTCAGGAGCTCTTTCTCTCTACTAGTAGTATCCTCGTCTCTGAACTCCTGACCTGGGCTAGACTCTTTCCTTTACGTCTATAAGTTAAGCCCCGGCTGCATGTCTCACCAGCCCTGGGTCCCTCCCACGTGCTCAGTGCTTGGTCACCTGCTTTAGGGTCTTGCCTATCTGTTGGCTTACATGAGCCTTACACTGTGGGCAGGACGGGATCACAAACGTGCTAACAGAGAAGAAAAACCTGGCAGCAAGGTGAGCCACTCAGGAGGAGAACCCAGGTCCTCACTCCCAGGCTCACTGGGTCCTCTCTGGCTCCGTTGTGCTGCTGAGGCAGTGAAGGACTCTGCCCTGGAGAGTGACCATACACCAGGTATGTCTCAGGGTGGACCCAAGGCTTTTGGAAAAGCCTCTGTAGATACAAAAACAAGAAAAATACAACTCCTGCAAACAGCCAGCACGAATGCGGATGCTGCCCAGGGTGGAGTGGGCCGGGCAGGGAGGGCTCCTGTGCAGAGTTAGAAATCCTTGCTTCCTCATCCAAAGCTAAGAAGAACTGGCTAATGGCACTAAAAACTATTGATCTCGCGAGAAGATAGAATTGACTGGGGCTGGAGTCAGGCTAACTTCTGACCTCGCAGATCCAGGGTGACAGCTGGGAGGGGACAGGGATGCAGACAGCAGACATGCCCACTGTCCAGGAATGCTGCCTGATGAACTCATGGAGCTCTCTGAGTAGCTGGACAAACCCACACTGGGGCAGGAGATGGGGGCCACTAGGGAGACCCTTCTGGAGACCCCTACCACCACTCCAGGCTTCTGATTCCCGATGCTTGGCAAGAAAGGGGACACCATTGGTTTTGGGGACAAGCTTTTCCATCAAGGTAGCTGGAGCTTGGTCAGGAGAACATGTCCAAGACAGCTGATGAGCCTCTTGGGGCTTGTCAAGGGGAAGAGGGAAGGGTGTCATGGTCACGGGTTAACCATGAGCAGACACGGATGGCTCAGGCCCCAGCAAGTGAACTTTCCACTCCGCTGTGTCTCTGAGGCTGTCCTGCCCCTGCCCCCTTACAGACTGAGCTGTACACCGGGGCCCAGAGCAGAGGGACACTCACCAGCAGACGAGGCCGGCCACCACGGCCGTCCAGGTGATGCAGCAGGAGCCGTGCTGCTTAGTCTGTGCCGCACCTCCCGGCCTGCAGCAGCACACGCATGCCAGGTAAGACGCAAGGAAGACAAGGTTCAGGCCCAGGCAGACGGCAGCCACCAGCCCCAGGAACAGCAGTGACTGCAAGAGGGGAGAGACCTGCTGTCAGCACCCGCTCCCCCACTGGGAGGTTCTGGAAGTGCCCACCCTTGGCCCCCAATGCCCCACCCTGGGCTGGGGTGTAGGAACAGGGGCTGAGCTGTCTGTCTGTCATCCGTTCTTCCTTCTCTCCTCCTATGATTCAAGCTCCTATTATGTAAACAAAGAGTGCCTGGCACTTAGACACTAGGGTGGAGGTGACAGAGCTTAGAAGATGTGAGAATAAGACGATGGGCCTGGTGGTCAGCAAAGGTGGGGGGTAGGGGAGCTGCTCAAGGTGGGTCCCAGGCTTCTGGCCTCCACACCCGATGAGGACATGGACAAGGACCTGCTGAGGAGCAGCTCTCAGCCACTCAAGAGACAAGGTGGGGATCGTCAACCAGCAGCGAGGGCTGTGGGCGATGGGATGCGCGGCCGAGGGAGACAGACGAGAGGGACATCCACGTGGGCCAGAGCACCCAGAGGCTCCTGGGGGAGATGTGGCTTGAGCAGGACGCCTCGGGAGCTGAGTGGGACTGAGACAGGGCCAGGAAGGGACGGCCTGGCATATCTGCTGCCTCCTCCATGCACAGGGCCCAATCGCCCCAGTCCGGTCATCATCCTGTCCCCAGAAGTGGAGAGTCCATCCAGAGCAATGACAGGACAGCTCCATGCTGGGGGATGGAGAGTGGAGGCAGTGGGGGTGGGGAGAGTCAGCATGTTCAGGCCGCGGAGTCCCTTCACTGCATCCTGAAGGGGACAGCTGGCCCAAGGTGCCAATGGCAGCAGCAAAGCCAGAGTTGTGAAGGGGGTGGGAGGTGCCTTCTCGGGGCCACCTAGCACCCCAGGTCCTGCAAAGGGAACTGCTGCTGATTGGGGGCCAGGGTGCCCCCCCGCTGCCCTCCAATCTCTTGATTCTGCCAGATGGACACCAGATGGCACTGAGATTGGTGGCTGTCAGCCAGGGATGGACCTGGCTCTAAGTCAGGCTCGCAAGCTGACAGTCCCCCTGCTTCCCACGTGCCCCCAAGCAGTTCCCAGTCTAGAATCCCCAGAGCCCCTGTATGGGCTGTTGGGTGGGAGGGTTGTTTCAGGAAACCTGTATGCTGGTGGCGGCAATCAGCAGGGTGCGGGAGACCCCCAGGACCCTAAGGTCTAGGGGCAGACAAGACTTGTGCAGGGGTGTGCACACACAAGGAGACAAGCCCAACAAACAGAGGCTGGGGATTTGCAGTACAAGGTGTTGTGGCCATTTTCCAGGGGGCATAGCACAGTAGTGGGGACACCTGCTAGCATCCACCCTGTGCCTTCCCTGTGCCTGCTCAGCTGCCCAGCCCTATGAGGACTCGGGCAGGCCCCCAGATCCCTGATTTATCTTAGGGACAAATGGCTGAAGTGGAGGGGACAGATGGAGGAAAGCAGGAGAGAGACGGCTCATTTGGGAATGGGGCAGAAAAATTTGACTTGAAATGAGTGACTTGTGGTTAGGTCAGCTGGTGAGAGCTTGGTGCTTATAACACCAAGGTCCAGGATTCACTCCCTGTACCTGCCAGCTGCCAAAAACAAACAAAAAATGAGACTTCCACTCCATGTAGGATAGACATGTCACAGGTACTGCCAGGAACTTGCCCCCGGCTCTGCTCGGCCGTGTGGATGATAAACCTCCCTCTAGGGCCCAGCAGATGTAAGCACATCGCCCCTCCTGAAGTCTGCACAGTGTGGCAGAGGCTGGGGCTTCCCCTGCCTGGACTGCTCAGCACAGCCTGTCCCCTGAATTGACCCCAGGAGGCCCCTCTCTGGTGCGACAATGGAAAGTCGCTGCCCACCTTCCCACACCCAGTCCACACCCCTCACTGGAGGGCCCGGTAGCCCCAGGCCAAGGCAGAGGAGGCCAAATGGACCATGAGCAGACAGAGCTTTAGAGCCTCACTGCTCACCACCCTGTGACCTGGGGCACTGACATCCTCTGTGATGAAAAGAAATCTGAAGCCGCGAAGGCTGATGTCCTGGCAAGGTTAAAAAGTCTCCGCTCAAGGCTATAAAGCCCAAGAAGGGGAAGCCCCACTGCAGCCGAAACCGTGTCCTCGTCAGAGGAATTGGCAGATATTCCTGATCTGCTGTGTATTCCAGAAAGGCCATGTACAAGAAGAAACAGTGAACAAATCCAGGATTGAAAAAAGGAAGAAGGTTCTTGCCACTGTCACAAAACCAGTTGGTGGCGAAAAGAATGGTGGTACCTGGGTGGTTAAACTTAGCAAAATGCCTAGATATTTTATTATCCTACTGAAGATGTTCCTTGAAAGCTGCTGAGCCACAGTAAAACCCCTTCGGTCAGCCTGTGAGCAGACGGCGAGGTGGCAGCCCTCCTGGGACTGTCCTGATCCCCCTCACTGGGCACCACAGAGGCAAGAGGCTGGTTTTCTTGAAGCAGCTGAGCAGTGGCTTGCTACTCACGGCCGGACCTCTGGTCCTCAATGGAGTTCCTCTGCGTAGAACACACCAGAAATTTGTCATCACCACCTCTACAAAAATTGATATTGGAAATAAAAATCCCAAAACATCTCACTGATGCAGACTTTAAGAAGCAGCAGCTGCAGGAGCCCAGGCACCAGGAAGGTGAGATCTTCAACACACAAAAAGAGAAGCACGAGATTACAGAGCAGTGCAAGGTCGATCAGAAAGCCGTGGGCTCACAAATTTTATGAAAAATCAAAGCTATTCCTCAGTTCTGGGGCTCCCCGAGATCTGTGTTTGCCCTGATGAATGAAACTTATTCTCACAAATTTCTTCTAAATTTCTTACCAAGAACCAAATTAAATAACTTATTTGTTTCAAAAAGAAAAGAAAAGAAAAAGGACAAAAGAAAAGAAAAGAAAAGCAGAATCTCAAGTCCCACCCTAGATCTAGCGAATCAGAACTCCACCTAGAGATGATCCCAGGCGATTTATATCCCATTAAAGTCCGGGAAGCACTGGATTAGTGTCAACAGAAGTTCTCAAACTTTTTTCCAGTAGCTTAACTTTTTCTTCAAACTGACTCGCTTACGAGAACCTCAACATTCAGAGCCCCGACACTCAGAGCCTCCTGTGAACAAGCAGTGGAGGGAAACACCACCCTTTGTCCTGGCCACCTCGCTGCAGGCCCCTGAGGCCCCTCTGCTAAAACCTGGGGAACCCTTAACAATTTGCAAACTACTGTGTGACATGCAAACTACCATGAGCCAGCAATTCCACGTTACAGGAGGGCTTGTGTCCCGCAAAAGATGCACACATGAGTGTTCACAGCAGCTCCGTATAGCAGTAATAGCCAAACACTGGAAACAACCCATACATCCTCCAGCAAGAAAACAGATACGTAAAATGTGTCATAGTCATAAAATGGAATACTATGCAGCCATGAAAAGGAAACTGCAGCTACACACAGAGGTAATATCGAGGGAAACAAGCCAGACACGAAACTGCAGAGACTGTATGGTTTAATCTATGTGACATGCAAAGTCAGAGAAACTCACCTACAGCAATAGAGGTGTGACTAGCAGCCACCTCTGGAAGGGCACTAACTGTGAGGGAGCAGGAGGGAAACTCCTGGGGGGTCAGGAGTACATGTTGATCTGATGGTGTCACACACACACAGAAATTCATTGAGCTGCAGACTTAAGATTGTGCACTTTCCTATAAATTATTCCTAATAAAGAAAAATGTAATTGAACCTCAGATAAATCTCCTGTGTAGATTGGAGACCAGCTAATACCCAGACCTCCCACTAGCTCCCTTTCTGGCTTGCCTCCTGGACAGCCCCACCCTCAGTCTATCCCCAAACAAGAAACCCCACTGAATCTACCCTGTATCCCCACCCAGCAAGGAAGGATCCTCCAGGAAGTGGCCAAGACATGGATTGGTGCCATTTCAAATTTTCCAAATCCATCCCCACCCCAGGTCCCTGCAGCTGGCTCCCCTACTGCATACTCTCACAAGCCTCCTCAGCCTCCTGACCTCCTGTGAGTCCAGTCCCCCTCAGCAGCCCGGGGCTCTGCAGGCTGGACAGCTGGCCTCAATCAGGTTACTGATAATGCAGTCCAGCCCCTGGGAAGGCGATGCTGGGAAACCCAGACTTGGTTTTTTAAGATTGGCTTTTGTTAAGAACCTGGGTGCTGGGAGGACAAGGACTCGACCAAGAAGCTGGAGGTGTTGCTTGGGGATGCCGTAGGACAGGGGCACATGGGGTGGAGGGAGAAAGAGGTGAGAGGAAAGAGGAAGGGAGAAGAGAGGAAGGAGGGACAGGGGGAAAAGGGGCGAGGAGGGAGCAGAGAAGCAGACCCTAACCAGCCAAGGCCAACTTGGTGTCACCTGCTGCTCTCTAACAGGTAATTATTTTCCTGCTCGTAATTAACGCTGCAAGTCCCCATGTGCATGGGAGGGGCCGGGGGAGGGGACAGAAGGGGGAGCCGAGAGATCTGCTCACGTGCCCTCCTGCTCTGATGGACAGAGCTCAGCAAGGACAATTTCCCACAGCGCCCCGTGCCTCCCACAGTGCCCTGCGGCTGCCGCCACCTCCCCTTCCCACCGTAACACCATGACCACCGCCCCCACATCAGTGCTCAAACTCCGTCTCTTCCCCCATCAAAGGAACTTCGATTCGTCCTGGTTTGTCACTGTGCAGTGAGAAAACCAGAGCAGGGAGCAACCAAGCCAGGACCCAAGCTGAGGCAGCAGTGACCGCTGCAGGGGGACACGAGAGCTTCTGCACTGGAGGGGGGAGGGGCAGCAGCTCAGCCCCCAGGAGACTTTAGAGAGGTGAGGCCACAGCCCCACTGGGAAGGGTTAAGCCTCCCTCCCGCAGCTCGTCGTGACTGTCGGGTGACCATGACTCAGTGTTCAGCCTGGATGAATGGGGTCTCCTCATCCCAACCTTGCATCTCGCTGGGCTGGGTTCCATGCCTGGTCTTCAGACCCAGGCCCAAGGCAGGGGCAGGGAGTCCTGCAGTTCTCAGTCTAGCCCCCGCTCTGTTCCCTCCCCTGGCCTGAGGACACACATCTGGGGACTCTTTCGGGCGTCTATGAACTGACCCACCCAAAGAGAACACGTGGAGGGCTGGCCAGTGAGCTCAGTTGGTCAGAGCACAGCCTTTGTAACCCCAAGGTCACAGGTTCGGATCCCTGTACCTTCCAGCCACCCCCGCCACCAAAAAAAAAAACAGACCAGAGAACACGTGGAAATACATGACAAACATAAACATCCCCTCTACTGCCCAAGATGTGTTCCAAAAGAATGACTGGCCTACTGGCCGAGGGTGAGGAAGATGGCGCGGGGAGCACACACGTGGCTGCGCACGCGACGGTAGCCACAACTGACACCGGGCACAGCGCTTGGGAGCTCACTAAGACATTTCAAGAACATTAGCTCATCAGTGCCTGCTCTCCCCACGAGGGGGTTGGGTGAATGGTGACGGTGACACCCATGCCTGGGGCAAGGGGTAAATTGAATTCAAAGAGACATAGCTGGATTGAGTGCCAGGTGCCCTTACTGTTGTCCCCAGTACTGCCCAATGGACACCCGGCCAGCTGGGGTCACTGCCTTCCCAAGCGGTGATTGGCAGTTTACCATGTGCCAGGCCCTGGCCACATGCTTTATACCCACTAACTCATGTGTCCATTTACTGTCTCTTTGAAGCTGTCAAAGTTGAGAAGACTCAGGCTGCGAGGTCTGGGCTGCTTCTTCCCCAGACACACAGCGACACCTGGCAGCCTGGGGCTGGTGGCCCCCAGGGCCAGGGCTCCCTCCTCTACCGCCCTGCCTGGTGCTTACCTCGCATGCCTCGGCTGACCCCAGGCCCACCTCCCTGTGAGGCTGGGATGCAGGCCAAGCAGACTTCGTGGCAACTCAGGCTTAAGCCCACTGAAGGCAGGGCAGGGGTGGAGGATTGACCATTACGGGCACTGGGGCTTCCACTGCTCCCAGACACCCCAGAAAGTGAGGGGGAGCACTAGTTCCTCAGGGAACTCTAGAACACATCTACTTGGGGTATTTCAGCTCACCAGGGGGTCTGCTCTTCAGCTATCTCTGCTCTTCTAAGACCTCCACCCCTTGTCTTCTAGATCCACGGACAACACAGATCAACCAACTCTGAGCCCTGGAGGCCTGCACGTGCTTCTGTTTCCATCTTCACTTAGTCTTTGATACACACACGCACACAGACACCCACAAGCTGCACCGTTCATCAGCACACTGGGGGCATGAGCTGAAGCCTTCCTGCATGAGTTCTTTTTCCGTCTCCTTGATTAGTGTCTGTAGAAGAGATCTCTTTCCTCTCTGACCCTAACAGGGATAGACTGTGCTACGGCACTCTTTGCACTAAGCACGTTAAGTGGAACATCTCATTTAATACTTGCAGATGACAGGGGCTGGCTGGTTAGCCCAGTTGATTAGATCGCGATGGTGTAACACCAAGGTCAAGGGTCTAGATCCCCATACCCATCAGCTGCCAAAACCTCCCACCAAAAATAAAAAGAAAAAAAGAATTTGCAGATGAGGGAAGTGAGGCTCAGAGAGGTTAAAACACCTGCCCATGGTCACCAGTGATAGAACTGGGGATCTAACCCAGACAGCCGGACGCAGAGCCCCCAGACTGCTTGGCTGCTGCCACAACACTGAGCCCAGAGGCTGCCCCCAGAGAAACCCTCAGCAACTGCTCTCCAAAGCTCTGCTGCCTTGGTTATCACGGTCACCCCATGCCTGGCATGGCACTTGGCCCCCATCAAGTTTGCTGAGGACTGTGATGACTGACAACAGAAGGCCCCCAGTCCATGGTGTTAGCTGACCAGCCACCTGACTATGGTCATGACCGGTGCTCAGGAGAAAAGGGGATGTCCAGGAGGGAGCCGTGGTCAGACAACAAGGGAACTTACTAAAACAGGAGCCACCTCAAATAACAACACCCAGGGCCAGACTTCCCGTCCTGGCCCACCACACTCATCCTCCACTCAGCGCTCCTCCCCGCCCCCAGCAGGACAAGGAAGGGGGGCAGGGCACTGGTTGATGGGAAGAGGACACCCTCTGGAGCTATCTGATGCCCGGCACAAAGAACCCTGGGAGTGGCAGAGGCTGTGAGTGGGTCCCTCTGGCTCAGCTACCACCTGTCCAAGGGAGGGACGGGGCAGGCTCAGGCCCTGCCAGCCACAGCTGCTGGCCACACAAGTGCTGTCTCTGGAGCCAGTGGGGTGATGGAGTGCCCTTACCATCCCTACCCCCACCTAGGGTCTTCTTGACCCACCTAGGAGTTTAGATCCTCCAGTGGAGAAGAGAAAACTATGGTTGGAGACCCAGAGTGCAGGATCTGGGGCTCAGGGTTTGGGACAGACACATACGCCAACAACACAGCTGTCTCTGAAGTCATATCCGTCTCTTTTCATGCATTCATTGTGAGCGGAAGGTTCCCTGGAGCTATCCCCAGGCAGCCCCATTCTCAGGGAACACGGACTTCCACAGGCAGGGCTCTGGGAGAGGGAGGGGCAGACACAGACAAGGAGCAGGGAGCCAGGCGAGTGCACTGCCTCCTTGCTCCTGTGTTCCTAAATGGCAGGAAGGGTCCTGACTCTCCCTCCTTCTAGAAGGGCAGACACCATCTGCCTGGGTCTGGAGGCAGCAGGGACTCTAGGGGTTATTATTAGACACCTTGTCACTGTCTCCCGGGCTTGGGCAGTACACGCCCTGCTGGATCATGATCCCCTGGGCCCTGTAGGAGAAAGGTCTGGAGTGGGGAGAGGCGAACGGCTGACTCCCCAGCACAGCCTCCAGAGTCTTGCTGGGCCACCTGTCCCACACCAGGAGAACTGACCCTGAAGGCAGAGGCTGCAGGGGGACAAAGTCCTGAGATGGGTGCATAGCTCTCAACAAATAAGCCTGGTCCTGGGCTGCCCTGCCCCTGAGTCTTTGACCTAATGGAGGAAAGCGACTCAGCCCGACCACAGGGGCAGGAGCCAGCTTGACCAGACTTGAGGCAGGCTGAGATATTCTGCAGTTCTGTCTGGGTGGGAAGGTCTGGGGAGCCGTGGCCCCATCTATGGGCTGCAGAAACCGCAGAGGAAAAGGCCAGCAGAACAGAGAGAAGGCAGAAAAGCAAGGATGAGGGGACTGGCTGGCCAAGAAACCAAGACACCAGAAATTCTGGGCCTAGAATGGGGGACGTGATGGGGGGAGACGGGGCAGTCCTGGACCAAGCAGAGGACAAAGAGAAGAGGCTGTCAACCCGAGGGGTACTCAGGAAGATAGTGTGAGATGAGCCACCTTCTTCCACTAAAACAAACGCATGGACTGTGGGTTCTCTGCGCGCAGGAGGAAGCCACCCACGCCGCCTCCCCCAGCCCTGCAGCCTTCCAGAAGGGGCCCAGGCAGAGGTCTCGGCAGGGGCTCCTACCCTGCAGGCGGGGGCTGCGTTGGAGGGATGCTGCGAGGACAACTGAGGCTCAGGTCAGTTTCTGCCTAAACTTCTCCCCGGCCACCCAGCTCCGGAAAGACAGCGCCGCGGTCTTGGAAGCTCAGAAGCAGGAAAAACTTCGGGGCGCCCGTCGGATCCCCACACAAATGCCCCCCGCCCCCCACCTCCCGCAGGCCGTCTCCGCGCCCTTCCCCTCCTTCCCAATGCCGGCTCAACTCCGATCTTTCCAGTTTTCACGGCCCCCCGAAGTTCTTAGACCGGAGGGACCGCGGGGAAAAGGGTCCCGAGGTAGGAGGAGAAGGAACGGGGAGAGAAGAGGGGGAGACAGGGGGTGCGAGAAGCACGTGGGAGGGTGCGGGCTGCCGAGGGGTGGTGCTGGGCCTGGGGGCGCGCGTGGGCCGGCCTCGGGGTCTGCGGCTGGGGCGGCGCGGACTCACCTCCTGGTAACTCTCGTCGCGGGGGCGAAAAGTGCTGTCCACGGGCTGCAGGCGCAGGCCGAGGTGCGGGACGCTGTGCAGCCACACGACCCACCAGGGCGCGATGTACTCCACGCGCGCCGCCGGCATGGCTCGGCCTGAGCGTGGCCCGCCAGCTGCTGCCGCCGCTGCAGCCTCCACCGGGTCCAGAATGCG